CACTTCCATGGTCACATCTAGTTTATTACTACTACTGCCACATTCAGAAAAGGTGTGCCTTTTCCCGACATAACTCTTACAACTCAATAATAAAATGACAACCCAAAGGATCTGATCATACGTTGGTCAAAGAAGATATACAAATGGTCAATAAGCACATGAAAAGATGCTCAACATCATCAGCCATTAGGGATATAAAAAATCAAAACCCTAATAAGATACAATTTCACATCCACAAGGTTGTGAAAGAAATGAAACAGATAAGTGCTGGCAATGATGTACAGAAACTGGAAGTTTTTGTTGGTGAAAACAGCCACTGTGGAAAATAGTCTGGCAGTTATTCAAAAGGCCAGAGAATTACCATGTGACCCAGCAATTCCATTCCATACAAGAGAAATGAGTATCGATATCAGAGAAACACACTGATTGGTTGCCTCCTGTCGTGCCCCGACCAGGCTCTGGACTGGGGAGGAGTGTGCCTTTGACCAAAATCGAAGTGGGGACCCTTTGGTCCGCAGGCCGATGCTCTAGCCATTGAGCCAAACCGGCTAGGGCTCCTTTTATTTTTTACATGAGAATGTCAATAGGATTTCAGGTATTGTGGTGCAAACATGGTGTTCAGTTACCATCTTAAACTGGAATCTCCCTATCTAAATCTTAAATAAAGAGTTCACACACTTCCTTAGAACCCGAGCTCTTTGAAACACCAACACCCCCTTTCTAAATTACACCAAATTTCACCACAGGATGTGGACTACGTAGGAAGCATTCCTTACCAAATAAAACCAAATTGAGAAAGAAAAGAAAAAAAAAAACTACTAATATAGTATACTTTGAAAAGCATGTTACATTTTACTAATAATTTCATTTCAAGTATTCAAATAAATTGTGCCCAAAGAATAAAAGGAAAAGTATCTATGCTCTGGCCGGGTAGCTCAGTTGGTTGGAGCATGGTCCCGATACACCAAGGTTGTGGGTTCCATCCCTGATCAGGGCATATGCAAGAGTCAACCAATGAAGGCATCAGTGAGTGGAATAACAGGTTGATGTTTGTCGCTCCTTCCCTTCTTATCTTTCTCTAAAATTAATAAATTAAAAAGAAAAAGTTATTTTATCTTTTTAGGCACTTAACTGGAATCCATAACCACTATCTTTTTATAATTTCCAATAATTTATTTTTATTTTAAAAAGTAATATAAAACTAAAATTTGTAATATAAAACAGTATATGCCAGGATAATTTTATTGTATCTAATAAAAACTTTATTTCTCATTAAAATGAGTCAACCAGAACATTTACATCAACAAGATAATTTAGTAAATTGATAAAATAATTTAGAAAAAACACACACTCATGTTCCTGTAAGTATGCATCCATTGTGTATGTGTTGGGGGTGGGGATGGGGATTTGAGATGGGAACTAAATGTTTATTCCTTATGGACCTTCTCTCCCTCCTGGGGTATGTCATCTAGGCCTGACCATTTACATGCGGATGCACTACTTATAAAATAGACTTAATGATATTAATCATTTAGATAACTAATAAACTTTTTGAACTTCATTGGTCTAAAACAAAATTCAATCCCTCCCCAAACCTACTCCTAGCAACAATAAATGTAAATGGCATCAATATTCACCCAGCTGTTCGTGCAAAACAACCAAGAGCCATCCTTTATTGCCTCCTTTCCTTCATTCAATCTATCAATAAATCCTGTTGGTTCTACCTCCAAAATTAATTCATTTTTCCCATCCCCACTGCCAAGCCACCGCCCCTGCATTAGCCTTGAACTGATTTTCCAGCTTCTGTTCAGGTCTCCTTAGAATCCATTTCCTGCTCAGAAGCCAGTGTAAATTAGCATGTCATTGCCCTTCTTAAAACAAAAACAAATTCCTTACTGAGACCTATAAGGCCTTTTATGATCTGACCCCTGCCTACTTCTTCACCCTCATCTCATCATTTTGCCTTTCTTACTATCTCCAAGCCACTCTGCTTCCCCAAATACTCCAGCCTGGTTCCTCATTTAGCTCTGCATTTGCCATTCATTCTGCCCTGAATCCCTGGCTCCCCACCACGACTAGGCTAGCTACATGCCTGACTTCTTTGCATTCAAATGTTACCTCTTTAGAGAGGCCTGCTCTAAGACAGCCACCATCCTGCCAATAATCCACAAAGCCCCTTCTTATTTTTTTTTCATGCCACCTATCACAGTCTAAAATGATATGTTTATTGAACACCCCCATATCAACTCTTTAAGGGCAGAGACTTCTCTCTTGTTTATTATTCTCTCCAATGCCTAGAACACAGCAATACTTTTTTTTTTTTTTTTTTTTTTTTTAAATATATTTTATTGATTTTTTACAGAGAGGAAGGGAGAGAGATAGAGAGTTAGAAACATCGATGAGAGAGAAACATCGATCAGCCGCCTCCTGCACATCCCCCACTGGGGAAGTGCCCGCAACCCAGGCACATGCCCCTGACCGGAATCGAACCTGGGACCCTTCAGTCCGCAGGCCGACGCTCTATCCGCTGAGCCAAACCGGCTTTGGCAACACAGCAATACTTAACAGATCTTCAACATATCTGTTGCATGAAAAACTCCATCAACATCACTGAAGTTGTACAAATGTTCACTATACAGATTTTGATTATTATTAGTGTATTACAGAGTTTAAATTATATTGGTTTATTATAAATAAACATTTTAACTGAATTCCAACAGGAAAAAGGTATTAAGAACTCCCCCCCCCAGTAGAAGTCCTGAAGCGAAAGCAGACCTATTTGGGAAAGAGATTTAGGAGACACCATCAGATTCTGTCCAAAGATAAAAAGAGAAAGTGAACGAACATCTTCCAGGATCAAAACCCCAGGCAAGACCAGAAAGAGGGTTTTCATAGCTCCTTCTGCAAGCTCTGTGCAAAGAACTCCAGTGGATGAGAATACAGGGAAAAACTAAAGAGAATATCTCAATGGATCCTTCACCCACCAAACAAGATTTCTTCAGAAACTGACTTGCTTCTGCAAATGGCCTTAACCAAGAAAAACAGTTGTGTAAAACAGACCTAAAATTGTACTGTCAAGTAATAAGATGAGGATAGGAAGTTTGTATAGCCCAGTTGGCGTGGCTCAGTGGTTGAGCATCAAACCCGGAGGTCACGGGGTTTGATTCCTGGTCAGGGCACATGCCTGGGTTGCAGGCTTGATCCCCAGTGTGGGGCATGTGGGGGGCGGCCAATCAATGATTCTCTCTCATCACTGATGTTTCTATCTCTCTCTCCCTCTCCTTTCCTCTCTGAGATCAATAAAAATATATTTTGAAAAAAGAAGCTTGTATATGTCTACATATATTGATGTATAAATCTCTGAGGAAAACCAATATACTAGTAAATATTTACATATCATACTAAATCAACATATGAGACATGGAGAGATAAAAGTCTATGGTTGAGAGCTGGCCTTTTTAACCTAAACACTTGGGAGGAGAGAAACAAAAACTTTTCACAGCATTATAGAAAAATACAATAAATCTGGAGGAAAAGAAACATTTGTTAGAACAACAATAAAAATCATAGGTAGTAATGTTTGTGGTTATATTTAAAAATAAAAGAGAATAATAGCACAACACTCACCCCAAAAAAGCCACTGAACCCAGATGCAGAAAAGGAAAATTGAATCAGTGGTTACGCCCACAAATTTAATCTGGCACTTTTAATGTGATCTTTAGAGATCTTTTTCTTATGAAGGAGAATATGAAGGGAATCTTATTGTTTATATACTGTTTGTAGTACACAGGTGCCACCAATCGTAACTAACGACAAACCCTATTTTAAGGCCTTAAACATTGCTAAATACATCTTTAAGAACTTACACTGCTACTCTTTCCTAGGATAAACACAAAGACCAGTATAAGTTGGAAAGAGGAATTTCCATTAGAGAGAAAAGAACGTTTTGGTATATATTTCTATATGACACAGCAATTCCTCAAACATGATTTTGTGTTCAAAATAGTTAAGAACCAAGAAGCAAGCAACAAAGGCCACCAAGGAACTACAGCAGAGCCAGTGTCAATGCAAGAAAACACACTTTTAAAATATATAGCCCGAGGTCCTCACTCAGAGCCTATTCACTTTTATTTTAGGCTGAATTCTAACACAACTGGCCACCTAGTTGCCCAGCAAGTCAGAGATAGCAAACTAGAAAGTGGAAAAGACAGAAAACTATTATATTGAGAATAGATGACCTAACAGGACAAAGGAGACGGAAATACCATTGAAAAGGGAAATTACAAAATCCTAGAACCAAAAATAAAATTTAAAAAGCGTAACTGGCAAGGTTTTATTTAAAATTGTAACAATCTTACAGAATTCAACTCTATGCATCCTCTATGCATCCTACTTTAACAGTGCAACATTAATATTGTACCTTGTGTAGTGACTTGCATGGAATATTGAACTTAAGCTCAAATAATGACCGTAAAGTAAGAGTTTTTAATCCTAGAGTTTCTCACTTGGTAGGCAGGCATCTATATTTTTCAACAAACCACAGGAAATTCTGAGGCACACCGAGAACTGAGAACCATGTCCTAACAGTCTAAAGAAAGGTTACATTATACTCGATGTATTATTTAGAGAAAGAAGTAAGAATTTACTATGATCTTTAAATGTGCTCAGTCAAACCTGTTTTTAAAATATTTGGGCATGTTGAGGTCAGGTGTAGTAGTCACCTTGGTCGAACACTGCATTTCCCAAAAGGAGGGAGGGAGCTAAATGACATATTACCAATAGCCAATCTATTCACCTTTGAAACCATAAAAATAAAAATATAATACTAAATTTATGTAACGACAAGTGAAGAAAATACTCAGTGTGGTCCAGAACCATGGTAGAAACTCAATCAAGTTAAAGTTGTGTGGATAAACACGTCTCACTAACTTAAGCTAGAGTCTGGGTACCAAACCTCTTTATGTAGTAGCATCTCCCAAACAAGATACACTCATACTCACCTTTCTGAAAAATCAGAGTCTATAAATTCTCTAGCCCGTTTTCTATCACTAAAAAGAAAAGAAAAAAAGGCATAAAAAGAACATATAAACACTACTTTATTTCATGAATAATTTACTGTAAGTTGTCTAATGCCACTATATAGCTAAACATAAAAACTAATATAAAAGTTATGTCCATAAAATAAAAACTTAAATTTTATGAAAGGACCAAGAAATCACAATAGGATAACCTAGTTTGAAATGAGTTCAATGAATCTTTAAGGAGGAAAACACTGCAGGTTCACAAAAGAAAAGGCATAGAGAAGTTTGATTTACTCTGGAATGACTGACTATAAAGACACGACAGTCATACCACCTCCAACATAAAGCACAGCTGGGGCTGGAACTATCCAAACCCTGGTCATCTCCAAACCCCTGGTATAGGCACGAGTTCATGTTATAATCTCTCAGGGCTGTGCAGAAATCCAAGGTAACTTTTGGATCTACATGAGAATGCTCACAAGGACTGAATAAACGCCATGGAATTACAGGTGACTGTCATGTCATCTCATTTGATAATGGAAAAGTATGACCACATATGAAACTCTTCTATCTATAATATATGTGTGCGTAGGTGTTTGAATATGACTTAAAACACTTTGCCAGGACTATTTCATTAATTCATTCAATATTCTTTTTAAAAATATATTTTTTTATTGATTTCAGAGAGAGAGAGAGATAGAAACATCAATGATTAGAGAGAATCACTGATCAACTGCTTCCTGCAGCCCCCCCCTCCGCCACTGGGGATGGAGCCCAAACCCAGGCATGTGCCCAGACTGGGAATCGAACTGTGACCTCCTGGTTCATAGGTTGAAGCTTCAACCACTGAGCCACGCTTGCCAAACTCATTTAATATTTTTGAAGGGAGGAAATTCTTACTCAACCAAGATTTATTGTCTGTTTGGTAGAACTCACAATTGTAAGTCAAAGATGGAACTACCCATGCAGTATTTAAATAACAATTTAAATAACTTCTGAAGTAACAGAATAAAGTTTTGAGTCATTAATTTTACTATTTCCTTTTATTTTATGGAAAGATGAGATGTTAAAAATGATAAGCAAAGGAGAGAGGTTGGGTAAGGGTATTTTGCAGACAAAGATGAAACATGTGAAGGTTTGGTACTAAAAGTGGCAAATGAATAACATAGAATTTGGCCTCTTTTCCCTAGTTCCTTTTCTGATTTTTTTTAAAGGAAACAAGAATTCACAGGGGAAATTCTCAGTATCACCAACACTTAAAATATCGTTTGTTAAAACAATATAAAATATAGTTTTGACATCTCCAAAGCAGCTAAATGCCATAATAATAAAAAATAGTTCTCTTTCAGAGTTGAAAAAAAGTAAAAAGATTCAGGTACAAGATATTATTATAATGTTTTTCTCTGTTTTAAAATGGTTGCTCCATAAATGACTTATATCTAAGACATGAAGTCATATAAATTGGTAATTTTAAAGGAAACGTATTAGTTTTTAAGGACTAGACTAACATAACACAAGAACAGAAGACAAGATCCTAAGAAAAAAATGTCAGAACTCTTTAAATTTTATTTTTAAAATTGTAACTTGTAACAACACTCTTACCCTGGAACCCAGCCAGTAGCTTCCGCTATGTGTGTCTGAGTGACCATTGCTGGTGCTGGGGTGTATGGACTCCCGATCAGAACACTTCCTGAACTGGTCAGTCTCTGTGGTGTGCTTATAATCTGTGAAGTTAGGACAAAGAAGATAATATCCTTAGTTATTATGAAAAGCCTACAGGCACAAAATAATGTTGATTGCTAACCTTATTAGGAGGAAACCTTATTGTCTAAAATGCTTAATCATCTAAAACATACGCAGTACCTGTGATTCATTTATATCCTAGGATCGTATACTGACATGAGGTCATAATGCAGGTTTCAGCAAGTGAAGAGCAATTTGGAAGGATTAGCTGGCAACTGACAATGTTTTAAAAATCAGAAAAATGAAAAGCTTTCTTTGCAATTACAGAACCTAATTCCAGTCAAGCTTGATTTACTAGAACTGGGTAACAGTAAATCAGATCTTCATAGTCCAAAATATAGGCAAAAGCATTACACAATTTGGATTATTATACAGATGCAACTTTATCTTTTTCTCTTTTTTTTCAAGAGCATGTTCTCATGTCATTAAATATTCTTTAATGACATATTCTTTAAATATGTCAGTAAAACATTCCATCATGTAAATATATTATTCCCTATTAGATATATGGATATTCAATTATTCACTACTATAAACAATGCTGTGATAAACATTTTTGTACAATGATCTTGGCCTTAATTTCTGTTTCCTAAGGATAGACTTCAGGAAAGGAATTAATGGAACTAAAGATACGGACTTTTTGTTTACTGCTTTTGCTTTTTTTTTTTTTTTTAAATTCTCACCCAAGGATATTTTTCCATTGATTTTTTAGAAAGAGTGGAAGAGAGAGGGAAAGACAGGAGAAGCATATCGGTTGGTTTCCACCTGCACAAGCCCCGACCAGGGGAGGTGCCTGCAACTGAGGTACATGCCCTTGACCGGAATCAAACCCAGGACCCTTTGGTCTGCTTTGTCCACTGAGTCAAACTGGCTAGGGTGTTTATTGCTTTTTAGAAACATGTTTTTATTGATTTTAGAGAAAGAGGAAGGGAGAGGAGAGAGAGAGAAACATTATTGTGAGAGAGAAATATCGATTGGTTGCCTCCACGTGACTGGGGACTGAACCTGCAACCTGGGCATGTGCCCTGACCGGGAATTGAACCAGAGACCTTTCGGGTACATGGGCCAATGCTCAGCCAACTCAGGCCCGGGCAGAATATGGACTTTTTAAAAAAGTCCCTTGGGCCCTGGCCAGTGTGGCTCAGTTGGTTGGAGTTTCATCCCATACACTGCAAGGTCACAGGTTCGATTCCCGGTTAGGGCAGACACTCAGGTTGCAGGTTTGATCCTGGTCAGGGTTCATATGGGAGACAACTGATTGATGTTTCTCTCTCACATTAATGTTCCTCACTCACTTTCTCCTTACCCCTTCCTCTCTCTTTAAAATCAATTTAAAAATAAATAAATAAACACAAAAGGCAATAAACAAGGATAAGATATCTAGAGAATTCTGACTCTCTACAATAAGCCAGGGATGATCAAACAGGGCATTCAGAAGTTTGCCTTGTGTGAAAGTATGAAAACTAGACAATGTGTTTGGACCTCCTACCTCTCCATGCATCCCATCCCACCTCCACACCTCCATTTCAGTGCAAGATCTTCAAGGGCAGAGAGAATGTTTGCAGGGCCTAACACAGTGCTCACAGGAAAGTGCAATAAATACTTACTGAACTGAGAGAAAAGACCCAGCTTTTAAAATGATAAAAAAAAGTAGTTTCTTAATTCACTAATATACTACAAAGGATTATATAAAAATCCAATAAGAAAAATACAATATAAAAGACAGTTTTCTCCAATCACTACATCACACATTCAGATGTCCTTTATCATATTGTCATTGAGTGTGACAGCTTAAGGAGCAAAATTTCAGTATTTGATCAGTCTCGTCTACACTTTCAAGAACAGGGGTGCCCAAAAAGCAATTCTATGTGTTCCAACCTACCCTTGAAACAGACTGCATTACTTGTGCAGTTTTATTACTAAGGAGTTCTTTCTCTATATCTGTTATTAGTAGCCTACAGACTCGGTTTTATCTGATTTAAAGGGCTTTGTAGAAAGAAAAAGAAAGAAGGAAGGGAAACAAGCATAGGGAAACATAGTTATCATTACTGAGAATGACTTTGGAAATGAACTGCTATGTTCTAGTTTATTTTTTCTTCCTCGTTGTCAGATTGTCAGATATTTTCTTCTGATCTGAGAGTAAATAGCAATACTCTGTTCCCTTCTCTTAGCAAAGGGCCTGATACACAGTAAGTCCTTAATAAACATTTCCTGAATGATCAAATTGGAGATGAAGGACTTGAACTGGAAAGACAAGTTATAAGTTCATGTGAGATGCAATGAATTCTTAAACTAGGACAGTGAGTCTTAAGAAACAAAACCAAAGGAAAGTCAACAGAACTAATCAACCATTAAACATAGGAAAACTATGTAGGTGATGAGTCAGACCCACGTTATAAAACTGAACCTTAATTTTGAAATCCCAAATTAAAATAATTAGAGGTAACTACTTCTGATATTCAGTTGATCTGATAAGGAAAATGAATAAATTTCACACACACACCCCAAAAAAAACAGAGACTACCTTAATTTAAATGTAATTGTGGTTTCTTTTGACAACAGATTACAGTTACGCAATGAAAATCATACAGCAATTGAACCTCATTCTAGAGATTTTCCACCTTTAATCAATATATCTTATGTACTACTGCCATCTACAGTTAAAAAAGGCCAAGGGAACACCTATTTTGAAGGGGAAAAAACTATAAATTATAAAATGTTATGTTAAATAATTCCATTTTTGTTGTTGTTATTGTTGTTGTTAATCCTCACCCAAGGATATTTTTCCATTGACTTTTAGAGAGTGGAAGGGATGGGGAGAGACAGAGAGAGAGAAACATCAATGTGAGAGATTCATCGATTGGTTGCCTCATGCAGGCCCTCCAACCTGGGCTGGGGATGGAGCCTACAAACAAAGTATGTGTCCTTGAACAGAATCGAACTCGTGAACTGAACCTTCAGTCTGCAGGTTGACACTCTATCCACTGCGCAAACCGGCCAGGACAAGGATTCCATTATTTGACAAAATATTAGTTTTCAATATAAGAAACATGCAGTTTTAACCACATTAAAATAAAGATAATCATGAGAGTATCATATATATATATATATATATATATATATATATATATATATATATGCAGAAACCTTTAGGAAAAGGGAAAGTATCCCAAAATAAAAGTTACTGCTAGTTTCTATAAATACTGAACAAAACTTTTTTTCTCAGGGCCTTTTGAAATTTCTACCTACCATTAAGATTTGGCTTCCAAAGAGACATGAAATTTAAATTTTCTGTAAGAAGAAATTAGGTTTTATTCACTAATTCCTAACTAAACAAATATTTTTAAAAATCATGAGTGAAAAATTGAAGGTGAAAGGACAATGTTCAAGAGAAGCAAGCAAGAGAAGAAAGAAATGGCTCTAATCGGGGTTCTACATCAATTAGGAAATCCAAACAAAAACTCTGATTCTGGTCCAAGTCCTAAGAACTGCAAAAAGCCCCCAAGAATTAGGGAGACAAATAAAGGCCTTGGGCTGGCCTGGTTTAAAGCAGAGCCCCCGATCTCCTCTCCTTCGGACCTTTGTTTGCTGATTCTGCAATAACTGCGTCAGTAGCATGTATACCTCATTGCTTACTGTCAGAACAGAAGTGTATAAAGACTGTCATGTACATTATACAAACTAACAATGGAAAGAGAAATTACATGTCTCCAAAAGAGAAACCTGCACTTGAGCCATAGCAGCATCACTAAAATACTAATAGAAAATAGCATCTCAGAACCAGACGATTTCTGTAAGGGGAAAACAACATGCCATTGACTTTTATGGCAAACACATAAGAGTTCTGGTATGTTTGTTTAATTTTGGTGCTTATATTATCACATTTCAAAATACAGACTTTAAAGGCAGGTGTCTTATCTCACTTGTACTTGCAGCTGGTGAGGGGCAAATGCTTAGCAAATGTTGGAAAATATACCCTGAACTACCTTGAATTGGGAACACTTACCTGAGCTCAAGTCTCTATGAAGTTTGTAGCTAGATCACATTCTTCACATAGTTATAGTAAATTGTGTAAGATCTTTGGCTTGGATTCTGTAGATAATTAACAGTCCTCAAGCGATCAGGAAAAATGTCATGTCTAGAATGTCTTAAAAATTGTAAAGACTTTCTGGAGCCATTAAGTATGTTAAAAGTTATTTTTGTCTAAACAATTTTATGTTTAGCCTACTCTACTGGGCTGTATACTATGGGCAAATTTTATCTTTGTTGCTCTATAGATGAGAACATGTAAGCACTGACAATGAAGAGTTATTGTTCAAATGTTTATGCACTTTTGCTAAGTAGTGCGTGAAGCCAGTTAAATTAGGTATAGTTTTTTATAATATGTTTTCATTGATTTTAGAGAAAGAGAAGGGGAGAGCGAGAGAGAGAGACATCGACTGGCTGCCTCCTGCATGTCCCTCCTGCTGGGGATTGAGCCCACAACCTGGGCTTGTGCCCTGACCAGGAATCAAACTGGTGACCTTTTGGTACCCGGGACAACACCAAACCAACTGAGCCACACTGGCCAGGGCAAATTTGGTATAGTTTTTAGAGTAGTAGGGTATGAGACTTTGTTTATAAATAAGGCTTTTTAAAAGTGCTATCTAGCCCTAGCCGGTTTGGCACAGTGGATGGAGCGTCAGCCTGCGGACTGAAAGGTCCCGGGTTCAATTCCAGTCAAGGGCACATGCCCCAATTGTGGGCTCCATCCCCAGTAGGGGGCATGCAGGAGGCAGCCTATCAATGATTCTCTCTCATCATTGATGTTTCTCTCTCTCTCTCCCTCTCCATTCCACTCTGAAATAAATAGAAATATACTTTTAAAAAAAAGTGCTATCTACTTCAAGCTCTAACATCACTAATAAACTACTTACAGAGAAAGTTAAACATTTTTCATCCATTATTTCTGTTAAAAATGTAAATGAATTGGCATGTTGTTTTCCCCCAAATGTCCTTTAATCAAAGATTTCAAATTAATAGCTCCAGATAGGAAATTAACTAATGGGTCACATTCAATTTATATGAGTACATAGTTTAGGGTGGTGATTATTTTATAAGAAATAACAGGAGGAGAACATAAAACATAACAGATTTTAAATCAATTTAACCAATGAGAAGCAAGAAAAGCCTCACACACAGAGCAAATCTTATTACACATCCAGAATCCAGAGTCAAATGTATGAAAATTAAACACTGAAAAGTGCCTTTCTTTTTCTCAAGATTTAATCAGTTACATTCAGATAAAAATAAAACTTTAAAAAGTGACTAAGAAATTAACTAGAATATGTGACCATCCATAGTTAGTAAATTTTCAAGTTCTAAGATTTGATGGTTTTCTTACCATTTGGGGTCCAACATTCACATTTATTGGTCCTAGGGTTTTTGGTAAAATCTTTGTTGGTGAGTTGGTGCTGGAAACTGGAAAAGCAACCAATGAAATGTTACCTGAAATGATATCAAAACACCGGGTTAGTGTTCTGCAATATTAAGGCCACCTTCTAACCCCATGGTCCTAATCCCAGTTTTGATTAAGTAATTTATAATTTAAATTATAAACAAGAAGGCTTACTTGCTTTGTTGTAGTGAATACAATTAGTTCTGCTAAATAGGAAATCCGTAAAATTAACAGTTCAGTCTATCTGCCAATTAACTACTGGATGTTTAGTTGGTTTTATGGAGGAAAAAATATTTGGAGAATATATAATGCAAAGCATCCTATATAATAAAAGGCTAATATGCAAATCAACCAAATGGCGGAATACCCGGTTGCTATGACAAGCACTGACCACCGGGGGGCAGATGCACAAGCTGGGCTCATGGCTGGTGAGTGGAGTAGTGGTGGCGAGATGGATGTCCAGTTGGACATCCCCTAAGGGCTCCCGGACCGTGAGAGGGTGCAAGCCAGGCTGAGGGACTGCCCCCCCGCCCAAGCGCATGTACTTTGTGCACCGGGCCTCTAATAGCTAATATCAGAGTTGAGAAATTCAGTTAGATCTTTATTAGACATAGAACAAAAAAAAAGTATAAAGTAAAAAAGAAAAAAAAAGTAGAAAGCATATTAGAATTTCTTTATAATATAAATATAAAATATTTATTATATTTTACATGTTTTCAAAATATCAAGTTGGTAGTTTTTTGATGTTTCATTACAATAGAGAAAAAAATATAATGCTACCTTGGTCAAGAATGTTGGAAATTGTAGGATTTTCAAGTGATTTCAACACTTTAACCCTTTGCGGTCCAATTTTATTTTTGGAATTCAAACAGTCTGGTCCAAATTAATTGACGGGATTGAATGTTGAACCGGTTTGTGGTGTCGACCTCAGCCTTGATGTTGGACCTGCTCCTAGCGCCTGGTCTGTCAAGTCAGCCTTCACGTTGGACCGAAAAGGGTTAAATTTTAAATTACGGCAGCGGTTCTCAACCTGTGGGTTGCGACCCCTTTGGGGGTGGAACGACCCTTTCACAGGGGTCGCCAAAGACCATCAGAAAACACATATATAATTACATATTGTTTTTGTGATTAATCACTATGCTTTAATTATGTTTAATTTGTAACAATGAAAATACATCCTGCATATCAGATATTTACATTACGATTCATAACAGCAGCAAAATTACAGTTATAAAATAGCAACACAAATAATTTTATGGTTGGGGGTCACCACAACATGAGGAACTGTATTAAAGGGTTGCGGCATTAGGAAGGCTGAGAACCACTGAATTATGGTATCAGGGCATTGCCCCCCACCCCGTCCTAAGCCAATCAATAATCTTCTGAACTACCATATCAACTACTTAACTGCTCCAAACTTCAGTTTATCAGTGTTTCTCCTAGAAAGTAGCAGTGTAATATGAAGTAACGAAGGAGATCACCCAGCAAGTATGTATGTAAAGCAGAGTCAATCCTGAAACTCTGGGGAAAAACCAACATTTAAGAGCAGGGCTACAAAGACACTTCCTTCCTCAGCTCACTAAACTCGCTCATACTCCTTAATCCCCTTCTCTCACCTCCTGATTCTCACAGATACTCATGTCCCCTGCAGTAAGGATAACAGACCATCAGACTAAACTGACAGCCCTTCTTCCTCAACCTGTGACCTATCTGCACCCTCACATACTTTTACTTATGTCTCTCTGAGTGGAAATTCTCATATAAATTACTTCTTTCATGTCTGCTCTACACTTCCAGTCTCCTCAGGCATCTTAGACATCAATTATGTACTCACTGTCCCCTGAGTTTTCAACTATACCATTGGCTCTGCCCCTTCAGTTTCCCTCTCTGCCCATTGATTGGGTATCATTTTCCCTCGATATCCACATTTTAAAATCACATTATCTTTCTCATGCTCACTCAATAAAGCCTCAGACCCAAATCTGCTTCTCTTTCATGTTTTCAGTCTTGGTATACAACTGAGCATTGATCAACGTCCACCCAGAGACCCACTCCAGAAATAATCAACCCCCTCCTCAACCAACTGACCACCATATCTTACTTATCATCCCTTGGATCCTTTAATTGGTGGGCACTTCTTTAATTGAGAACGTTATCAAATCTGGTTTGAATGCAGTTACCATGGTTCACAACCGTGGCTGTGCAGTGGGACTGTCTGGGAAGCAATGCCTGGGTCCTACCTTCAGGGCTGTTGATATAATTGATATAGAGGCAACTTGGGCACCAGACCGTTAAAAGTTCTCCAGATGGTTCCCAGAGCAGCCAGGGCTGAGCACCACTGTTCACTTCAAACAGCTCCCCTCCCCCTCCACACATTTACAACAAACCAGTCTTTCAACTGGTGAAACTGGTCTGGACAATCCCCTTCAACTTCAGACCTTCAAGGACCCCAGGACACTTCCTAAATGCCTCTCAGATTCCTCAACACGGCACAAAGCTCCTGGTCTCCAAACAGAAACCTCCCTTCCCAGTTTTATTTTAGCGACTCCCCCCAAGCACCCCACACTCCAATCATGAAATACTCTGCAGTCCCGGAAAGGCCCAGCTTAACTCCCCCGGCTTTGGTGTACACCATTCCTTCAGCTGGGAAGTCTGTCTCTGATGGGACAACTACCTTCTAACACTTCAAAATGGGATTTCATACCATTTCCTGAATTACTACTGTGTGCCAGAGTCTATCTACTCTTGAGGCTTCACATATATACATCACCTCATTAATGCTCAGGACAACGTGTGAAATACATTGCTACTGACTTCCTTTTACACATGAAGACAATGAGACAGAGTGAGGTTAAATGATTTGTACAAGGTCTCATAGCTGGTGAGGGCCACGGCTCCACCTCTCCAGCCTGTGCTCTGTGGCACCTCCTCCTTAAATGCTGTCCCTGCCTCTGTGGTCTAGGGCCTGGATCCCTTCCTCCGGCTTTTCATAGAGCCTGTTACCATTTACCAATAGTTCTACTATAAGTGGGCTATGTCTCTCAGCTTCGCACCCTAGCATCTGGGTTAGTCCCTGGTACAAAGCACTGTATGAGTCTATAAAAACTGGTTAGCATAGATTGGAGCTATTACCTTTTCTAATCTGGATGCCATACTTCCTGTAATGTAGCCTACATTGTATCTTTTCTTACTTTTTAACAGGTATCATAGCTTACACTAAGTTTGAAGTAAATTTGAATATCCAGTCCTGCCCGGCCAGCGTCGCTCATAGGTTGAGCATTGACCTATGAACTAGAAAGTCACGGTCCAATTCTCGGTCAGGGCACATGCCCAAGTTGTGTGCTCAGTCTCCAATAGGGGACATGCAGGAGGCAGATGATCAATGATTCCCTCATCACTGATGTTTTTCTCTCTCTCTCTCTCATTCTCCCTTCCTCTCTGAAATAAAAAAAAAAATTTTTTTTAAATAACATCCTATTAATTGCTAAAGATTAAGGTTATTATAAAAACTCTCTAGCCCTGACCGGTTTGGCTCAGTGGATAGAGCGTCGGCCTGCAGACTCAAGGGTCCCGGGTTCGATTCCGGTCAAGGGCATGTACCTTGGTTGCAGGCACATCCCCAGTGGGGAGTGTGCAGGAGGCAGCTGATCGATGTTTCTCTCTCATCGATGTTTCTAACTCTCTATCCCTCTCCCTTCCTCTCTGTAAAAAACCAATAAAATATAAAAATAAAATAAAAACTCTCTAAATATGGTTATTAAATAGTTTAAGAATCTGCCAAACTGGAGAATAATCTATGATTCTAGGGAAGGAAGAGCTATGTAACTGATACATACATGCCGTAAACTCAGCCCCAGGCAAAAGCACACATCACAGATCCATGTGAAGAAGAACAGCCTGGAAAAGTCTGGCTTTCAGATGGATTTTTAAAAATATATATTTTATTGATTTCAAAGAGGGAGGGAGGGAGGGAATAGGAGAGAAAGAGAGAGAGAGAGAGAGAGAGAGAGAGAGAGAGAGAGAGAGAGAGAGAGAGAGAGAAACATCAATGATGAGAGAGAATCATTGACCAGCTGCCTCCTGCATGCCCCCTACTGAGGATCGAGCCCACAACCCAGGCATGTGCCCTGACCAGAATTGAACCTGGACCCTTTAGTCTGCAGGTCAATGCTCTATCCACTGAGCCAAACCAGCTAGGGCTCAGATAGATTTTTAAAATGATCTAATACTGCTGAATGTTTAAGATGAGGTCATCTCTGATACACTGTTAGAAGCAAACGCAAAAAAACAGTAAAGCAACAAAAAAAGATAATTAGGGTTAGGAAACCGCTTGACCCCAATTTTAACCCTAACACTAAAAAAATGAAGTATATAAAACATTGGTCAAAACCAAAAAGAGAAATATCATGTCAACTGATACCAAAAGAGTTTAGAGGAAACTTAATAAAATTGATTCTAAAGTAGAAGAGGAAAGGCCAAGAATATTGAGTAGAACAGCCAAGAATATTGAAAAAAAAGGAATAACGGGGAAGAAGGGAATTTTAGCCTACCAGATTTCAAAATTATTACTTCACTAAAGTGACTGAAATAATGTGACACTGGCTAAGAATCAGATAAATAGATTCACAAAAGAGAAATTAAAGTCCAGAAAGTACTTCATCTCTATATGAAAATTCTATATATGATAAAGGTAGCATTTCAAACCAATGAAGAAAGGATGGAGTATTTTAGAAACACTTGTTGAAACAAAACATTGTCCATCTGACTAAACAAAACCTTACATTTCAATTTCTCATCTTGCACAAAAATAAATTCCAGAAAGATAAAATATTTAAATATGAAAATTAAAACTGTAAAAAAAAAAAAAAAAAAAAGGAAAAAGAAAAGTAAAGCCATAGAAGTATTAGAAGAAATAAAACTATTTTTTTAATAATTTGGGAATAAGGAAGGCCCTTCCAAGCATGTTATAGAATTTAGAAATCTTAACTGAAAAGAGACTGACAGATTTGACTACCTAAAAATAAGTATTTTTTTAAATTTTTTTTTCGCCGAAACCGGTTTGGCTCAGTGGATAGAGCGTCGGTCTTCGGACTGAAAGGTCCCAGGTTCGATTCCGGTCAAGGGCATGTACCTGGGTTGCGGGCACATCCCCGGTGGGGGATGTGCAGGAGGCGGCTGGTCGATGTTTCTCTCTCATCGATGTTTCTGACTCTCTATCTCTCTCTCTTCCTCTCTGTAAAAAATCAATAAAATATATTTTTTTAAAAAAATAAATAAATAAAAATAAAAATAAGTATTTTTTTAAAATTTTTTTTTTATTTTATTGATTTTTTACAGAGAGGAAGGGAGAGAGAGAGTTAGAAACATCGATGAGAGAGGAACATCGATCAGCTGCCTCCTACACATCTCCCACTGGGGATGTGCCCGCAACCCAGGTACATGCCCTTGACCGGAATCAAACCCGGGACCCTTCAGTCCGCAAGCTGACGCTCTATCCACCGAGCCAAACCGGTTTCGGCAAAAATAAGTATTTTTTAAGTAACAACAGACCAAATATACTTAAAAGAGATCTCAGAGTTGGTACCAACAATTCTGCAACACATAGATCACTGGATTACTATCCTTAAGAATTTTTATTTAACTTCCCACTTATAAATCAATGACAATGAGACAATACCCTAATATAAAAATAAGCCAAATACATAAAGAAATAGTAATGTCAATGTTCATATGAAAAATGCTTGATTTTAATAATAAAAAATTAAAACTTAAAAAAAAAGAAATTTTCATCTACCAGATTGATGAAGATTAAGTAGGTAGGTAATGCCCTGAGTTGGCAGAGATGTGTCTGGACAGGGAATTGAACAGTGACAGCCTGGTTCATTGGTCAACACTCAACCACTGAACCACACAGGCCAGGTTGCATTTTTTTTTTTATTAGTAAAAATAAAATCTGTTTTATAAGCAATTAAAGGGGCTCCACTGGGATTTCAATAGTTGTATTATTCAAAAATAAAAGCCATGTACGTATTTACACAATTTACTTTCACTGAATAAACTAGGTCAAAATAATAAATAGGTCAAAAGGACATATTTAAATAGATTACAAACATTCAGTCCCCCGAAATACCTGTCAGGTTAAAAGAAGTAAAACCAAACCAAGTCTAAACATTTTTGCATAATGGCTTGGCCATAATTCCCAGCTTCTTGGCAACAGGGACCCAATACTGTCCAGAAGCCAATTCCTGGCACTTGATGCACTTATTAAAAACAAAAACTTAGAGAACTGCCTGGGTTTTGGTTCTGGAAATTCCCTGAATTAACTAAATGAGATCAATCACCTTGGGAAGTGGCTAGGAAAAAGAGGTAAAACCTTATGCCAAATCTTGGCACAGACACAAAATTTTGACTCAAAATTTATTTCAATTTTGAGTAAATGGATCTTTCTGTTTTCCATTAGAATTGTCTAGACAGTAGTGATTTCTTTCACTCATCATTCTTCCAGTTCCAGTTAATCACCTTCAATATGTCCAATTAAAATGAAAAAAAAAAAAAAAAAAGCAGTCAAATAATTGTGGTTTGTCTACATGATGCCAGTATAAATTATTTTTTCACAGCACTGACTTTCTGGAAAAAAAAATTGGTTTTTTGTCTGAATTAGCTTTTGGAAAAACCTTCCTAACCCAAGCCTGTATTACATCCTCCTAGTAGAACCAAATTAGTAACTTACTGTAGGGAAGAATATGTCTATTTTATGGGTTTACAAATACGTCAAAGCAGAAATAGTGGTATATCATATATGTACAGGGTCCAACCTCATAGGACAAGCTAGCCTACAGCCTTAAATATAAAAGTTTTAATATGACCTAGATTGTGGTGGTATATGTGTTTATCAAATGTAATCTACTACATGTGAATTATCAATATACTAGAAGCCCAGTGCACGACATTCGTGCACTGGAGGGGGGCGGTCCCCTTCAGCCTGGTCTGTGCCTTCTTGCAGTCTGGGGCCCCTTGGGGGATGTCTGCCTGCCAGCACCACCCCTGTGCTCACCAGCTGTGAGCCTGCTTCTGGCTGAGCAGTGTTCCCCCTGTGGATCACCAGGGGGCAGCTCCTGCGTTAAGCATCTGCCCCCTGGTGGTCAGTGAACATCATAGCAACCAGTCATTCTGCCGTTCAGTTGATTTGCATATTTGGGTTTTATTATATAGGATATAAAAGTCAAGAAACTGGAATGATGGAACAACAGGTCGCTATGACACGCACTGCAGCGGCCAACTGGTCCAATCGGCCCTACCCAACCGCCTGTGGCCCCTCTTCCCCCAAAGCCAGCCTGGCCCCTGAGCGGCCCCCTCCCACCCCGATCAGGGGCGGGGCTAGCTGGCCAACCTCCCGCGTCCCCTCCCCCCCACCAACCCGGCCCCAATCGGCCCCCATTGGGGCAGGCGGCCAGACCCCACCCATGCACCAATTCATGCACCAGGCCGTCTAGTACCTTAATTAAAAAAAAAAAAATGATGGGGAAAAGTGACCTACGCAATTTTATATTTATTAGTAAGAGACTAATTTCAGATAATACAACCCTTTTGTTTCTCTTCTTCTGTTATCTCAATTGGGGCTATTTTTTAAACAGGTAGTTCATGTATTTGTCTAAATGAGATCCCTCCAGGTACTGTCTCTTTTAAGTCTCTTGAATCATCGCCATCTTTCCCTCTCTGCTAGATCATTCTCATCCACACAGAAACATGCCGTATTTCTTTCATCTAAAAAGCAAACAATGCATAACTCTCTGGCTCCCAACTCATTTCTGTTGCACTCGACAGCAAAATTCACAAAACCCACCAACATTTGCAATCTCCATTTCTCCACTGTTGTGTTTTTTTTAAACCCACTCCCACTTCTCCTTAATAACTTCACTGAAACAGTTCTTGTCAAGATCATCTTCATGTTGTTAAATCCAATGGTCAATTCTCAGCTTTCAAGTTACTTTAAACTATTAGATGCTTAAAAAAAACCTCATACCTTCCTTTGAGACACTCTTCATTTGGCATCCAAACCACCATTCTCTATGGTTCTTCTAACTCACTGGCTTCTTCTGTCTTGATTGCTGGCTTCTTCTCTAAAAACATTCGGAAGCCCCTTGGTTTGGTCCTCCAACTCTTCTCCGTCAATTCTTCCTCCCTACGTGGTCTGTTGTCTCTCACATATAGTTCTTCAGATTAAACTTCTCTCCTAACCTTCAGATTCACATATCCAGCTATCATTTCTTATATCCCCATTTTTATGTTTAGTGAGTATCTCAAACTTAACACCCCAAATCTAACTCCTGACTGCTCCCCATCCCTCCCGAAGCCTCCTTTCCCATCTCTCTTCATCTCAGTAAATGCCAACTCTATTCCTCAAAGATCACTGTTGACTTCTCCCTTTCTTTTATATCCTACATTCACTCCAATAATAAATCCTATCAACTCTATCTTTAAAATTTATCTTGAATACAACCTCTTCTCACCCACTCCACTGCTATCACTCTGGTCCAAGTCACTATCTCTTGTTTAAGTTACTGATTCATCAGCCTGCTTGTGCATTCCCACCTCTGCCCCCAACTCTATTCTAATTCTGTCCTATACAGTAGTCACTAGACACTTGTGGCTATTAAGCACTTGAAATGTGACTAGTGTGACTGAGAACTTGAAATTTTAAATTTACTAAATTTTAATTAAACTTAAAAACTAAAGCAGTATAGTTTCCCTTTTGATAGTACTACATTTCACCTTAACTGTTGAGAAAATTTAACATCTAAATTGAGATCTAAGTGTAAAATACTCATCAGATTTTGAAGGCCAAGTATCCCAAACATGTACAGTATCTCGTTGATAATGTGCTTATATTGATTACATGCTGAATGATAATTTCAGATATACTGGGTTAAATAAAATCTATCATTAAAGTGAAGTTTACCTGTTTCTTTTTACCTTTTTAAATGTGGCTACTAGAAAATCCTTCAAAACATCCAGCTGGCCTTGCATCTGTCAGTGTAAACGGCACACAGCTTTACAGAGCCAAGCCCTATGCTACCAGTACCACTTGTTTCTGACCTCATTACCTGTCCATCTCTCCCTACTTCATTCCACTACATTCAGACTTCTCGGTTATTCCTCAAGACATGCCAAGCAAATTTATGGCTCATGACCTCTGTTCTTAGTTTCCTCTGCCTGCAACTTTCTTCCCCCAGATATCTCTACGTGCTGTGCCGTATTCCCAGCTTCCTTCAAGTCTCTGCTCAGTCATCACTGCTTCAGAGATTTCTGACCAGCCTATATCAGCACTTCCTAACTTACTATTATTTTTTCACCGGAGTACAGGCATACCTCAGAGATATTGAGGGTTCATTCCAAATCACCACAATTAGAGTGAGTACCACAATAAAGTGAGTCGTAATCTTTCTGCTGGTAGAGGGTCTTGCATTCAATTTGTAAAAAATGCAACATCTGTGAAGCACAATAAAGCAAAGCACAATAAAACGAGGTAGGCCTGTACTTACCTCTTATTGACATATTGCACATTTATATTTACTTGTTTATGAAATTATTAGCTGTCCATAGCCTCACCCACTCTTAGAATACTAAGTTCTGCAAGGATAGGGCTTTGTTATCTCATTCACTGCTCTATCTTTAGCACCTAGCATAGTACCTGGGATACAGCAGAGTTCAACAAATATGTGTTGGGTGAATGAATGAATGATGGAAGCCAATGATACAAATTCATGAGACAAGAGTATACAGTGAAAACTAAGTCTCCTCCCAACCTCAACTACCATCTAACCCATTCCCTTCTCTAGAGACAGCTCCTGGTGCCAGTTCATTTATAAGCTTCCAGAAATATTCTAGACATATATAAACATATATGCATAAACATCCCTTTTCCTTACATATAAGATTGAATACTGTATCAGTCTGCATGTTGCTTTTTCACACTTAGTAACAGCATTTATCTTATGTAGTTTGCCTCAATGTTTTCTTTGTTAGCTACATAGTATTTCTTCTTGTGGCTATAGCAGTTTACTTATTGAGTCTTTTAGTAATGGACTACGTATTACAAACACTTTTAAAAGTAAAATATTTTATTACTACAAATAATACTTCAATGACTCTTTACACACATTGGTTGTACCAACTTACCCTCCCTTCAAAATATATGAAAGTATCCATTCCCTTTCATGGGTCCTCAAACTACGCCCTGCGGGCCACATGCAAATACAAATATTGTATTAGTTCCCTTTTTGTTTTTTTACTTCAAAATAATATATGTGTAGTGTGCATAGGAATTTGTTCATAGTTTTTTTTTAAACTATAGTCCAGCCCTCCAACGGTCTGAGGGACAGTGAACTGGCCCCGTTTAAAAAGTTTGAGGACCCCTGCCTGATATCCTTACCAACTTCGTGTTATCAAACTTTACTTCTGTCAATTTTTAGGTTAAAAATAGTATCTAATTTTTATTCTATTTTGGTTTTATTATGAATAAGGCTGACTTGTTTTGTTTAAAAGTCATCTAAATTTTCCTTCCTTAGAATTATGCCCATCTTTCTATTGGCTGTTAGTGATTTTTTTTTATTGATAGAGCCTCTTTATATATTGAAGGAATAAGTATATTCTTTGTTACACATGCTGCAATTATTTGTACCAATTTGACCTTTGTCTTTTGCTTTTTTATATATGCCTTTCTTTGCACATTAAAAATAATGCAGTCGCCAAAACCGGTTTGGCTCAGTGGATAGAGCGTCAGCCTGCGGACTGAAAGGTCCCAGGTTCGATTCTGGTCAAGGGCATGTACCTGGGTTGCGGGCACATCTCCGGTGGGGGATGTGCAGGAGGCAGCTGATTGATGTTTCTCTCTCATCGATGTTTCTGACTCTCTATCTCTCTCCCTTCCTCTCTGTAAAAAATCAATAAAATATATTTTAAAAAAAATAATGCAGTCAATTTTATAGTTCATCCCTTTTATGACTTTTATATCATACAGAGGTCTATATTCAAACATAAAAATAAAGGAAGTCAGAGTAACTACAAAGTTTATCATTCCTCTATACCCTAGAGGTGTACACTGTATATGAACATGCTATGCATATTTTACTTGCCTCCAGGTTCGGTATTTCCAGTTGGATATGCTGTTCTTTTTGTTTTTTAAATATTTTTTTTATTGATTGCAGAGAGAGAGAGAGATAGAAACATCAATGATGAGAATCACTGATTGGCTGTCTCCTGCACGCTCCCCACTCAGGGGGATAGAGAGCCCGCAACCCAGGCATGTGCCCTTGGCCGGAATCGAACCTGGGACCCTTTAGTCCGCAGGTCAATGCTCTATCCACTGAGCCAAACCGGCTAGGGCAGATATGAATTGAATTGAAATGAATTCTCATTAGTTATATGCTTAAGATGGTATAAAATACTCCCCATGTTTTCTTGTAATAGTTAAATGCCTTCATTTAAGACTTTACATGCTTGATCCATCTGAAATTATTTGATGTGAGAAGTGCAAGTTCCGATTGTCTTTTTTTTTCCAGATGGCTACTTTTTATTGTTGTTAATCCTCACTCGAGGATATTTTTCCATTGATTTTTAGGGAGAGTGGAAGAGAGAGGGTAAGATGGAGAGAAACATCGATGTGAGAGAAACAAATCGATTGGTTGCCTCCTGCACAAGCCCTGACCAAGGGCCCAGGCCAGGGAGAAGCCTGCAACTATGGTACATGCCCTTGACCGGAATCAAACCCAGAATTCTTTGGTCTGCAGGCTGATGCGCTATCCACTGAGCAAAATTGGCTAGGGCCAGATGGCTACTTTTAATGAATAACCTACTCCCCCACTCCACAATGTGATACAAAATGCAACCTTGATCTTTTTACTTATTTGGGTCAATTTATTACCTTTCTATTCTGCTCCACTGATCTGCTGTTTATGTGACAGCATCACATGCTTTATTCATTAGTGATTAACAGTGACTAGATTAACATTTCCTTTTAACTACTTATGAATACCTGTTGTAAAGGACTATCGGTTCATTTCAAATAGATCAAGTCACAGACTGGTTCTGAAATAGGACAATTCATTTTGCAGAGAGAAAAGATCCCACAACCTTTAGCCAGCCAGCCACCCAGAAAGCAGTTATCTGTCACTGAAGACAGTGGACTAGGAAGAAACGACATGGATGGCTCAGGGGATGGCTATCACCTTTACTTAGAAAATACTCAGGCCCCACAGATCAACAGCATTATCTTATAAATGAAACATGTATTAATAACTCATGCTTAATGTAAAAAGATAACATATCTAACTAGAAATACCAAACCTGTAAGTAAAATAGCACACCCATGTATAATGTGCAGGTCAGGATTAAAGGTAAATAAATAAACCTTGTAGTTACTCTGACTGCCTTCATTTTTATAATTAAACATATTCAAATTTTAAAGTTGTTATTCTATTTTTTTTATATTTTTTATTGATTAAGATATTACATATGTGTCCTTGTCCCCACGTTACCCTCTACCCCCCACCCCCCCCACCCCCGCTCATGCCCTCACCCCCCCCGTTGTCCATGTCCATTGGTTAGGCCTATATGCTTGCATATAAGTCCTTTGGTTGATCTTTCCCCCTTACCCCCACCCTCCCCTACCTTCCCTCCAAGTCCCGACAGTCCAATCAATGCCTCTCCGTCTCTGGATCAGTCCTTGTTCATCAGCTTATGTTGTTCATTATATTCCACAAATGAGTGAGATCCTGTGGTATTTATCCGCTCTCAAGTTCCATCCATGCTGTGGCAAATGGTAAGAGTTCCTTTTTCTTCTTCCTCTTCTTAAAGAATACCTTTCAGCATTTCATATAATGCTGGTTTGGTGGTGATGAACTCCTTTAGCTTTTTCTTATCCGTGAAGCTCTTTATCTGACCTTCTATTCTGAATGATAGCTTTGCTGGATAAAGTAATCTTGGTTGCAGGTTCTTGCTATTCATCACTTTGAATATTTCTTGCCAGTCTCTTCTGGCCTGCATGGTTTCTGTTGAGAAATCAGCTGACAGTCGTATGGGTACTCCCTTGTAGGTAACTGACTGTCTTTCTCTTGCTGCTTTTAAGATTCTCTCTTTATCTTTTGCTCTTGGCATTTTAATTATGATGTGTCTTGGTGTGGTCCTCCTTGGATTCCTTTTGTTTGGGGTTCTCTGCGCTTCCTGGACTTGTAAGTCCATTTCTTTCACCAGGTAGGGGAAGTTTTCTGTCATTATTTCTTCAAAAAGGTTTTCAATATCTTGCCCTCTCTCTCCTTCTGGTACCCCTATAATTCTGATGTTGGTACGCTTGAAGTTGTCCCAGAGGTTCCTTACACTATCTTCATATTTTTGGAATCTCTTTTCTTTTTTCTTTTTCGGTTGGGTATTTTTTGTTTCTTTGTATTTCAAATCTTTGACTTGATTCTTGGGATCCTCTTTTCTGCTGCTGGATCTCTGTAAATTATTCTTTATTTCAGTCAGTGTATGCTTAATTTCTAGTTGGTCCTTTTTCATGTCCTCCATGGTCTCCCTATACTTATTGAGGGATTCATTAAATTTATCGGCGGTTTCCATAAAATTCTTGAAAAACCTTATAACCGTGGCCTTAAACTCTATATCCAATCGTTTGCTTTCCTCCATTTCTGCCATTTGTGACCTGTTTCTTTGTCTCCGCATTTTGGCAGCTTCCCTGTGTTGATAGAGTGGCCCTGTGCGCCAGGTGTCCTGAAGGGCCCAGTAGCTCAGCCTCCCCAGTTACCTGGGGTGGACACTCTTGGTGCACTCTTGGTGCCTTGGTTGTTGTAGAATCACTGGGAGGAATTGACCTCCAGGCCAATTGGCCGTGAGAATCAGCTGTGTCTAAAGTGGGAGAACTTCTGTGCTGAAGACACCCTTCTGGGGCAAGACTTGCTTCAGTGGGGCTTTGGTGCTCACTGAGTCTGCTCCCTGAGTGCGTCCCTTATGGATCTGAGGAGTTGCAGTCTGGATGGACCCCCTCTGACCACTGGGTACAGTGGCTCCTGGATCTAAGGAGGTGCTAATTCAGCCTCTGCCTGAGGCCACACAGCAGGAGCCACGAAGAGGCTCAGCTGTGAAGCAATGCAAGCCGCTGCGGGGCCTTGGGCCTTCTCTTGGAAGTTCCAGGTCTGCCTGGTTCGGCTGCAGTTAGGTACATTCACATGCAAAAGCCTCTGCCGCAGCCTGGGTGGGGCGGGGTCTCAGGGAGTCAGAGGGCGGAGAAAGCGGCCATGGCCGATTCTCCGCCCGGAGTCGCGCGTCTCAGCGTTCCGGTAACGGCTGCAAGCACCTCTGAGGGAAAGCCGCCCTCAAGTTCGCTCGCTGCCGGACAGACCAGCTTCTCCCCGTATGAGACCTGGGTCCCCAGAGACTTCCCGGAACCGGAGTTCAGAGCCGTCGGGAGCTTGTGATTCAAAAAGACAGCCGCGTCC